CGTTTTAGTCTGATTTAGTCCAAATATATTGAAAAATTCATTATATTGTTCATTCATATGTAAATTATGTCAAATCTCATCTAACGTATGAGTAATAACATATAACATTCCATTAAAATAATAGTTCATACTTGAATCCAACATATAAATTGGTAATTGGTACTATGAATGAACCGGAACAAGTCTAATTAATATAGATATATATAACTCGTTATAAGAAGAGTTGGACCCATCAGTTTTACTTTTACTCTAAAGGGCGGAAGCTGATTTTATCAGATTTTGACCGGATTGAAGCGAGTTTTATGAATACGGATCGACCGCGGGTCGATCCTTGATTGACAACGTTGATGGTAACCCTCTCTCACCTAACCCCTCCCCATGAGGCCTCAATACTCTAGGAATTGAATCTTTCTTCACATGTATATTCTCCCTGCCGGAGCCGGACTTCCCTAATCCCTCCATTTTTCTAATCGCGCCTTTTTCCTTCTTGCTACAAAATCTGAGTTGACAAAGCCGGCTTCCCATTATTATTCCCTTCCCTCCAAAATTCCCCTTGTACGGTCGTCCCCTCCTCCTTCCTTCCCTTACCAACACGCACACACATATAAATACTCGCATACATACAAACACATAGAAACACAACAACACATAATCCAACACGCAATATCCAGAGGCCTCTCCTCCCTCCTCCCTATACAATGGCCGCATCCAAGGTTACTACTAGGAAGCAGCAGCAGCAGCAGCAGCTGAAGAAGAAGAACAACAACAACAATCTGATCAAGTTGCTGATTGTTGTGGGCTTGCTTTGTGCTCTTGTTGGGCCGACTCATGCGGCTAGGCCCGTGCCGGCGGACCATTATCACCGGCGGGAGGAGGTTGTTGCTGCCGTGGTGGTGCCAGCAAAGGCTTCGAGGGAGGAAATAATGGTGAGGGCACTTATCACCATGCTGCCCAAAGGAGCTCCATTGCCACCTTCCGGCCCCAGCCCTGGCATCAACTAATCCTCATCGATTCAGCTCCCACGTCACCCTCCAATTTACCACCTTATTATAGTAATTATTATAATAGAAGTTGTAGCTGCATAATATTTGGTTGCTTATAACTAGGTTATACAAGTTAATTACAGAAGCATATTGAGACAGCAAGTAAGTAGAGCCTTATTCTGGGCTACATAATAAGTATTTATCCTTAACTAACTAGAGTTATTTGTTATTCTTTTCTTCCCATGCCATGCAACGCAAAGATTATATACCATGAATTATATTTATTCGTTTTATTATAAAAATAGTGAAAAAACAGAACAAACCAAAGTCTAAAAAAATTAGTGGGCAGCTGAGATACAATCCAGGCTCCTCCCACTCCTTTAGCTATAGCAACAACACGACCTGGCACAAAACCTGTCATCCCAGTTTGAGTAAAAGGCGAAGATCCAGTCAGATCGATACACACATCTCGCCCCTTGTCCAAGGGATAAAGAAATAAATCTACAGGGCGAAGGGATCCACCATGCCCATCAACTAAATCGATATCAACCTCCCTACCGGCAGAAATCTCAAATCAAATGTTAGTAACTATTGTTTACGCTATCTAAAACATAAATGTTACATTTCCTTGAAAGAGAGAGCTAGTCACTTGTTTCGATCCATTTAAATTACAATATACATAAACAAATTCAAATCAAATAAGATTGAATCAAATGAAGCTATAAATTAGATTGTGAAAATGGAATGACTTAACCAATTGTCCTAACTATAGTTAGGCTATGTATTGAAGGTACTAGTTAACCAGTTTAGTTAGTTTGCGATCAAGCTGCCAGAAACTGTTGAATTCTCCAACTCATATGCATGCCTGGATCATATATTATAATATTAAGACAAAAAAGACCTAATATATGGTGAAATTAATTGTGGGAGTTGGGTTAATTTGTTTGTTATAAATCTAACCATTGCCCTTTAGTAGTGGCAAGAATTGGCAGGAAAATTATGCCATTTGTGTCTATTCGGATGGGCAGCTAGCTAGCAAGCTATTTTACAGAAATTAATTGATATTGGGCCATAATTAAGGACCTCAAGATATAAACACGCGCTAATTTGGTAATGGTACATATGGATCATGGATGCATTGCTTCATGACATGATCGACTGCATACCATACTCTAATCGAGTTGACTTTTCATATTCTAAACAACCATTTGACAAAAGGGAGGAAATCATGTAGTTAGTTAGTTAGTAATTAATTAATTAATTAGTTAATTAATTAATTAATTAATCTATTATTAAAAGAATGTAGATGGAACAGAGTAACGGTAGCTCCGGCAGCAGAATGGCTGACTCTAGCAAAACAAAAATGCATCTTCGGAATTCTTGGGTCCGCCGTTGCATGGGCGTTGCAATGATTTCACTATCGGGATTAGAGCAAAGTTGTATGCGGATTGTTGGCCTGTTTTGACCATGACCCGATGAGAAAAATGAACCACATATATTTACGGGTCGACCCGTTGCAAGATTACTGGGTTGAAAGTCAAACGGCATCGGGTTTTTTTTCACAATTTTCGAAATGCGCCTTTTTCTGGTTTTCCTTTTCGCCTAACCCTATCTTTGTAATTCTAAGAGAAATATTTTAATACTGATGTTAATAGGGTTATAGGTATAATATGCCCCTCTATTATGTCGTTTTATCATACATGCTCCTGTACTTTGGTAAAATTATCAAACATTCCCTTCTGTTATCATATGTTATATCATCTTATTACACTAATTCTACAAATTAAAATTCAAAATCCGACACCTTAGGACTAGTTTTTGAGTTGGGTGCATTGAACGCACTCATTTTTATGAGTGCACCAAAGTAGTCACCTATCTATATATATATGGCAAAGGCTAGCGTACGCCCGGACGTACCCTAGCCTACCGTACGCCCGTTGAGTTTTGCTATTTAGACAATAAATTAACCGGAGTTTGGGGCACGATACTATACCCTAACCCCTAATGGGTGAACCCCAGTCCGCAAATCACTAACCCAAATAATAATATTCATTTAATCTTGAAATGAAAATCAACGGTTCTGATTCGTCGAAATTATTTTTGATTTTCATTTTAAGATTAAACGGATCTCATGATTTGGGTTAGAAAACTAGGGACTGGGGTTTATCCATTAGTGGTTAGGGTATAGTATCATGCCCAAAACTCTGGTTAATTCTTGATCTAAATAGCAAAACTCAAACGGACGTACGGTAGTCTAACATACGCCCGAGCGTAGCCTGAACCATATATATATATATATATATATATCCCTTCTCGTAACCATTCCGCTGGCCAAAGGCACAATCAATTGGGTTTAATTGTAGGAATTAATTACTACAACTAAGTGAGGGCAATTTGGTAATTCCATGAAAATTAGATACCGGGTGTGACAATTTGAAGCATCCAACGCTATGAACTTGAGGCACACCTCACCGACAAGAATGTCAACTTCAAAGAAGTCTTAAACTGGATCGAATACTTGAAGGCTCATAGTTTTGGTGTTGACTTCACGATCTCAGACCGGGACCATAACACAAACCGTGATCTCGTAACAAAATGATGAGTTTTGGGTTTACTTCACGGATTTGGTTATTATCACGGGCTCAGCCCGTGAACATTACACAAAAACCGTAAAGTGTGCAAATTGGAAGAAACTTAAGTGCATCTCATAGGCAGTGTAACTTCATGGCCTAGAAACCGTGAAGATTACAAACAAACCGTGAATTGTGCAAAAACTAAGATTTTTGATGATTTGCAACCCCGATCGACTCTATTGTGCCCAACTCAAACAAAACATACACAAAGACCAAATCATTGTAATCATGGGCATGGTTGTCACTCCAAACTTACACTTTAACTTTAACACACAAAAATAAGGAAAGAAAATAAATGAACATTGGGTTGCCTCCCAACAAGCTCTTGTTTATCATCCTTAGCTAGACGTTGACCGATCTTATGCTTGATAACATGAAGATACAGAGAGTGGATCTACCACATTCCAGAGGCAAGGTTTGCCGCCTCGAACGTTCATTGCCGATGGGTGGCTTTCCTAGACCACCGCCATCTTTTTTTTTTTTTTTACGTCGTGTCAAATGCGAGCAACTCTCCAAAGCACGAAAGGTCATCTATGATCATGCTGTCTGATCATAATAAGACTGTATAGCATCTTTTCCTCGTCGGTATTGTATCGGAGGATGAAGTGAGTGTTCGTACTTTTCTTTGATTCAAGATATGCCAGTGTCGTTGCCACATCACTAGGACTTAGCATTTCATTGCAGTCTCGGGTGCTCAAATTGAACCCATCCTTTACTGTGTGCCCAACTATGTCATGTCTTCCAGAACTATGCATATCAAGCTTAATGATTTGAGAAGGTTTCATACCTGCATTCCTTTTAAATCTAAAATCTGCCTTGTCAACCTCCGTTAACCATCGTTGTGATCTCAGGTGATGAGTCCACTGCTTGTTAATTGGTATATGAGTGTGTTGTTCTTCAATTATATCCACTGTCCATTTTGAATCATTCATGTTAAATGTCAAGCGTATTTTTCAATTTGAACCCAAATTCGGTCAGCATGGGGAAATCTCTATTTTACTCCACTTTGTTGGGGGTCTCTGTCCCTCACATGAACAAAACGAAAGCTGCACTAGTAACCTCTCCCTTGTTGTTCCGAACTTTCTTCTCGCACCTAACAGAAAACCCTCCATGCCTTTGCATAGTCATTGTAGGAGGTGTACGCTTTTTTAGAGTCATTAATATTTGAACGATTTTAGGTGGATTTAAAATCACATCTTCCAACCCTGTCGTTTCTCCATTCAGAACCCTGTCATCTTCGACTGCCACATTACCACGATTTTCTTCTTCTTCCCTCGAATCAATGGTGTCAACCTTTTTTGGTTTGGGGTCTCAGCATAGCAGGGTACTAACGAGAGGTGGTTTGTTAGGTGGAGGCGGCGGAAATAAAGTGTACGAACAAGAATTATCCAAAAGCTACTCGAGAAAACATATTTTTAACCCCTGTGGTTTTGTATTTGTTAAGAATTATTACTTTGTTGAAATATTGACCAATGGTCAATGTTTCTTGGGATAGTGACATCAATTCATTCTCCAGTCTCTGGAGTCTCGCCTCATTGGTCCTGGCGAAGATTGTGGAGAGAGTATCCCAAGCTTCCTTCGGGGATTTGCTTTCCTTGATGCGAGGCAGGAATTGGTCTTCTGTTGTGACTGCAAGGATGTACATGATCTTGTCTGCTTTTTGCTTCCAGTCCTCCAATAACTTCTCATCTTTGGGTGGTGGGATGGTGATGATTTCCCAGAGCTTTTGGCCTCTGAGATAAAACTCCATACGGGTGCTCCAACTTGAGTAGTTGGTCTCGTTCAACTTCTCCATAGCGGTAACTGAGAAACCCTCCATCTTCTTACTTGGTAACTTCTCCAAGTTCTCTATTTCAGTCTTCCTGAAATAACTGCAGCCTCTGACCGCCTGATGAGGATTTCGTCACTACTGGCTCTCGGTTGAACCAGTTCTGACAACTCAGCACAAGGAATCCCTTTTCTGATGTGGAAGATCGGTCGAAGCCGCAACCACAGAGCATATGAGGAATAACCTTGATACTGATAACAAAGCACAAGGAAACCTTTTCTGATGTGGAAGATCGGCCTAAACCGCAACCACAGAGCATACGAGGAATAACCTTGGCTCTGATACCACTTGTTGGGAAAATTGGATCGAAATGCTCACTAACTCTCTTATTTCTTCACCTTCCCACAACTCACAATTGCTCAAACACTCTCTACTTTCTTTCTTATTTGCTTTGCTTTGCTTGGGATGAAGAAATCATACACAAACCATGGCTATTTATAGCCAAGTTCCAACACTAAATTGTGGCTTATACTTTGCCACACCTAACTACCACTTTACACCTACTTAACCCCACAAATATCTACCCATTTGTGGTTCTTTTTTTTTCTTTTCTTAATCCATAACTACCCACATTAATACACACTCTAGATAACTCCACACACTTCACAACTCTAACTGGTTGTGATGTTACATTTTTTTTTATTAAACTTTATTTTTCAACAGCGCCTCCTTCCATTTTTGAGAGAGAACAGAGAAGCAGGCTCTAAGGTGTGTTTCCCAAAGGTTAGTAATATGCCTAGGAAGTCGGGTTGCATGCTGGTTTAATTGGCACCTATTGTGGGTGAGAATGTTATTAAAATTATATATGATTGTTATTGGTATTATGTTGCTTGGAATTTGTTTTTATCCCCTGTTCTCGAGATTGTGTGTTGATTGGCTTAATTGATGGGTGGCGGATTGGATTTGTAGGTGATGTTTTGTTCATGAATCATGTCATGAGTCTTAATATATGATACTGCTTTAGGTTCTTATTGCCCATCTAAATTACGAAGTTAAGAGTGGCAGTGTTGTCTTTCAAAGGGAGAACTTGCTTGACATGGAAGCGGAGGATAGGTCCATTGCAGGGCTTTTTATGCGCTTACAATGCTCAAAGAATAAAACTTGGCCTTCCCGAGCTTGGACCAATTCAGGTATCATTCACTTTTTGATTTGCTTGCACAAGTGTCTTTCTTTTGAATTTTGTTTTGTTTATTTTTCTCCACCAGTATGTAGGGCACATGATTTTGGATGTTTGCGTTTTAATAACTTAATATACGTCATAGCTTTTGAAAATGTGGAACTCTGATTAATTTTGATAGAGGTGAAGACAAGCAATCCCGTCATATTTAGTAACCAATTAGGTTTCCCTATTTTATGTCATGGCCCAGGGACCAGTTCAGGTCAGTAATTGATGGGTCAGTAACCCATCAGTAACCTCTTCTCTTGTCGTCATGTGTCAGTCCCTTTTTTATTTAAATTAAATACGAAAGGACAATAAGGTAAAATTGCTCATACCTCTATTTATTGATAACGCTGACTTTTGACCGGATCACATCAGTGCCTTCTCTCTCCTCGAAAAAACCTTTAATTTTCCTTCTTTTAATCTTTAACGGACGATTTCTCACTCGTTTTAAGTCGAAATTTAATTTTTTTTGCACAATTAGATCAGATTAATTGTGCTCTTCAAAATGATATCCACTTTGATATTTTTTCGACATAAAAAAATTTGTCAGTTATTACCAGTCTATACCATATGGTATAGACTGGTATTGACCATACCATATGGTATGAAAAAAATTTAACACATCAATATATATTACGTTACCACCCAATAGCATATGGTATAGTGTGGTAATATCAATATATATTTCGTTACCACCCAATAGCATATGGTATAGTGTGGTAATATCAATATATATTACGTTACCACCCAATACAATATGGTATAGTGTGGTATATCAATATATATTTTGTTACCACCCAATACCATATGGTATAATGTGGTAATATCAATATATATTTCGTTACCACCCAATACCATATGGTATAGTGTAGTAATATCACACAATACCATACAATATCATATGGTATAGTGTGGTAATATCAATATATAATTCGTTACCATACAATACCATACATTACCATATGGTATAGTGTGGTAATATCAATATATATTTCGTTACCACCGAATACCATATGGTATAGAGTTATAATATCAATATATATTATCTAAAAGAAAAAAAAAACAGAAGGAGGTAGAGAAAAAAAATCGTCTTGTGTCGCCTCTCATTTCCTCTTCCGCAATCAAGAACACCAAAATGCCGAAAAAATGAGAAAGATCAAAATTGAGGCCAATGAGATGATGAAGAGAAGAAATGCAATGAAAAAGAGTGGCTCCAATTTTTATTCGTCATGAAAAAAAAATAAAGAAGAAGAGAAGGGATGAGATTGAGAGAGAAAAAGGAAGAGAGAAAGAGAGAGGATCTGAAAAAGAGATTGGGAGAGAAAAAGCAAGAGAGAAAGAAGATAGAACGTTGCAGAGAAGTGATTTCTCTTTTCTTCTTTGAAAGTGCAGCCATTAAATACGAAATAAAATAAAGAATTTTAATGTATAAACGGACAAAAATACCCTTCCCCACTCAGCGTCCGGCCCTACCACACGATTGCCTGCCTCTTAGATCTATGGTCCCTATTCATTACTGACATGTCAGTAACCACTTGGTTACTGACCCTATCTGCTGCCCATGGCCCATACCTCGTGTTAATCTTTGAGCACTATAGTTTCGTTTTGCATATTATGTATGTGCAAAAGTGAAAGCCAACTCTAGCTATATTTATTAGCTAGTTTAACTAACAGTTTTTTATTTTTTGAATGGGAACTGTATTAATTAATTAAGATGCAAAGTTGGAGTTTCCTCCCATATCCTTCCTAAGAAGGGGTACAAGAAACTGAGGTGGGTTATCCACCCATATGGCCATATCTCCTCACCCTCCCATTCACACTCAACATGTGCCATCAGATGGGCTGGTCCATTAAATTTTCGGCCCACAAAGTTCAACTGAACATGGTTCAGGGTTTGGGCTGCGGCCCGTAGTTCAGCACAGATCAAGCCACTCTCAGTCTCCCAGTCTTCTTCCCTTCAAAGTTGTTGAATTATTCCTTGGCAATCCGATTCCATTTCCATTTCCAATATCTCAAACCTCTAGCCAAATCCAAACCAAATCCGATCGCCATGGCCTCTGCTTCCTTGGGGTTCAATTGGGTTCTAAATCTTCGAACTCCAGCAAACAGGAACCTCCCTTCTCCATCCCTGATTACTGCACCCCAACCCGTTCCTCGGTCTGATATACAAGCTGCATCAACATTTATCTTCACCAAAGCCGACTGTAGTGGCTGCCATCCCTGTATCTCGTTCCTTGTCGTCGATCGAAGGCTCGACTGTTTCTCTAGGTAATCCTTCAGCCAATTGCTCGCCCTGGCCAGAATTTCCCACTCTTCTAATTTCTTTTTATTCCACAAGTGGCAGTTGCGTTGGTCCCAGATGTACCAGAGCGCCACAAGGAATTCACCCAGCATTTCATCAGATTCCGATTCTTGGAGCTCACAGTACCATTCTTCTGAGGTAAGATCTTCCCCCTTGCTATGTATGGATCCATAGGGCTAGTTCTACAAACCCTTCGAACCGAGTCACATTCTCGAAAGAAATGGTTCTGCGTTTCTCTAAGGCTACAGAAGGGGCAGTGTTCGCTTCCCTTTTGCATTCGATCATAGATCCTAGCTCCCGTAGGGATTATATTCCTTAGCCAACTCCAAGCAAAGATCCGAACTTTAGGAGGAATCCCTAGGCTCCAGAACCTTTTCCAATTTACTGGCGAATAGACTTCCCCCATTTCTTCTTCATTTATGTTTTCCCACAGTCTGTATGCTATTTCACTGTGTATTTCCCTGTCTTTTCAACTCCCCAGATTAACTTATCTTTAGTAGGTTGCCTGGGGATGGGAATTTTCTGTATGTTTATGCGATCCCTAGGATTGAAATATCTCTGGAGCACATTTGTGCGCCAGCTCCTCCCTTCCAAGTCAATTAGTTCAGCTACTGAGGTTGAAGCATCCCAATTTGCAACTGGGCATGTTACTTTCTGAGTTGTGCTCGAGGGCACCCATTTATCCAACCAAATATCAATTTTGGTGCCATTCCCAACTCTCCATCTCATTCCCCGTTTCACTAACTCCTTCGCAGCCAGTAAACCCCTCCAAACCCAGCTCGGGTTTCTTCCAATTTCTGAATGACACGTCACAGTTGCTTACCAAGCAGGGCTAGATTGAAGCTTTGAAGATTTTTAAAACCCATACCTCCCATTTTCTTAGGCTTGCAAAGTTCCTTCCAATTTATCCAATGTGTTCTTCCTTCCTCCTCCTGCTGTCCCCACCAAAATTATGCCACTGCTCGTTTTGCTTCTTTGAGAATACTAGGTGGTATCTGGAACACTGACATAGCATATGTCATATGTACCTGTGCCACAGCCTTGATCAAAACTTCTTTCCCTGCTACTGATAGTAGCTTGCCTTTCCATGTTTTAACCTTTGCTCTAACTCAATCAACTAAGTAGTCAAAAGCCTGCTTCTTTGATCGACCTAGCACTGTAGGGAGGCCTAGGTATTTCTGGTGGTATGCCACTGCTTTCATGTTGAGTAACTCTACTAGTTCTTTCCTTTTCTCCTGTCTCACATTAGGGCTGAACGATAATTCAGTTTTGTAAAGATTTACCTACTGCCCCGATTCAGCTTCATACAAGTTCAAGATAGCTTTAACCTTTTCACATTCTGCCTTAGTTGCCTTTAGGAAGAGGATGCTATCATCAGCAAAAAGTAGATGAGTAATCTGTGGTGTTTGTCTCTTCACTCTTATTCCTTCAATCTGCTTGTCTCTTTCTGCTTTAGTTATTAGAGCAGATAAGCCTTCCACCACAAACAGAAATAGATAGGGG